AAGGCGGAGCAACGCCCGAGGTGGGCGGGGGGGGGGGGGGGGGGGAGAGGTCAGGGAGAAGAGTGGTGCATCACAAATCACACATACATATATCAGTCCAACTATGGTTCCAATGAATTGGATCTAAGGTCAAATTTTGCCACTTACGAAATGAGGGATATTAATAAAGTTGTTACAATCCAAAATTGGCAAGGAAATAATAGTTGGATCCTTAAGCCTTAAGGTTAGACAATACATGATTATCTTGGAATTACTTGGTACACCGTACATGTGCTAATAATATAAGTAATACACACCCAATAAAATAATTGAGGTTCGCGCAAGTTGATCCAAATCCCACCATTATTTAAAAAGAAGACAACGACCATCTTAGAGATAAAATATCACATGCATACTAATGATGTAGCCATATTACCACAAGGGTAAATTTTTATATATAAAATACATATCACTGTGATTAAGTCCACCGTTGTCGACTTGTCACAACTACTTTCTTTGCTAAATCAAATATAGTTACACGTTAAAATGTGTTGCCACTAGTCCGATTTTATTTTTAAATTTCCAAAGAGACAAATTAACACAGTTATTGTATTGTTTGTATATCATCAATCACAATTATAAATGTTAAAATTAGTCACCAAAAGAAAGTCCCTTGCACAAAATTACGTAAGAACTTATTGTGAAGCAATCATGAAGGATAAAGTGTCCTATGACAGTATCATAATGATACTATCACAAATATAGCATGAAAACACTCCTTGTCCCACTTTAAATGATAGTAAAGACGTTCAAAATCTCCAGACATATAGTGTTGTACAGGCATTCTATTGCTTCCCGATGTATATCATCCAATAGATGTGAATCATGTCCCACCAAAAGAAAATATCCACCTTCAGCTATACATTTGCACTGACCTAATAAGTGATAGGCCAAATATATAAACGCGTCATTTAACTTGGTCTCAACTTAACATATATGCCCTCCAACTTGGGGTACGCACAAGTAGACACTCAAACTTGTATAAGTTGAACAAGTAGATATATGTTTCCTACATGGCATAATACACGTGTGTGTCTACTTCTGCACAACCAAAGTTGGAGGGCATAGATGTCAGCTGAAAAGTTACACGTTTATGTATTATGTCTAAGTAAAGATAACATAAAAAAAATTAACCTGTAACACGAGAGATAGAGTGTATCGAGAAAGCATATTGCCAAAAGACAGTAAATTGCACAGACTGAACACTCCCTCTTCACTTTGAGAAGAACTCTTATTAGACATCACGAAATACAGGACGCAGCTACAAGAAGGAAGAGAACAAGGGGAAGAGGAAGGGTGGGGGTAGGGGGGAGGGAGAGAGAGAGAGAGAGAAAGGATACAAGTTTAAACAGAAGATAATTACAAGAAACAATGTTGTACAGATGACAATTCTGCCAGCAAAACCAAGGGAACCAATATATTTACAATTTGCACATAACACAGCTGACATAGCCGAACAATTGAAACTAGTGGCAGGCCCGGCCATATGAGCAAAAAAATAAGTTCACCACTCTGATATTTACATAATTTACATGATTACCTGTCTCCTCAGATAAAAGAATCTGTCTAATTGTCCTACGATCTGTACACCTGCCATCGATATAGGCAAAGCAAATAAGTTCAAATTACATGAGCACAAAAAAGAAAACCTAAGCCAAAAAACTATTATTCCAGTTTATGTTTTAACCATGATCTCATGATTAAAGAGATGAGAGAGGGGAAGAAGGTTGAGTTGATGACAAATGAAAAATCAACTGACTAGCTTAGTACAAGTCGATAGCTAGGGGGTGAAATGGCATTGTCTCAAAAGAAAGAACTAAGTTAACTTCAAAGTTTCACTTTTACCAGCCAAACATATAAATAACCTCCGATACTCACCTATACAAAACTAATGCTGGCTTGCAAATTTTGTTGGAGCTCTTCATGGAGAAACTTCAATATGCAAGCAAGAATAAAATGTGTTACTGCTTCTAACCCATTTCAATCATGAAGTAAAAACTTAGCTGTATAAATAGATACAACCATGCTGGAAATGCACCAAAAGATACAACTAAGGATTGAAACTGCATACCTACTACATGTACTGCTGAGATGGATTTGTCCCCAAATATTTCTCCAAAGACTCTTTCTTACGCTCCGGATTGAGGCTGCATGGGTGCTATAAGTTAAAACTCCACACGGGAATATAACACATTGCCAAAGTCACATCGCATTATATCAAACTGATAGAGCAGAAGCTATGAAATTGATTAAGGAATTGAAGAAGTCATATTCGCAGGTTTGGGCACGAGAGAAAATCTCAAAAGGGAGACATATTCAATAATCAAAAACCATTGATCAATAATAATAGAAGCAAATTACGATTATTTTTTATAAATTGATTGAAAAAATTATGATGATTATTCAAAATTCCTACCTTAAACTTCAAGCCTAGGCAAAACTCTTTAAGGTAAGATTTCTCATGAGAGCATGAATCTTCAGTTAGACTCATTATTAATCCAAAACACAACCACAGAGAAAATAAATTTTGAAGCATTAAAGGTTGACAAAAAACTTAAAACAGTAAACTAAAATAGATAAAAAGAGAAAGAAAATGCTCAATATTAATTACGCGATGGTTTTGTTATTCTACCTTGGATAAAAAAAAAAAGGAAAGCCAGTTGCCCTACAAAACAATTTGAAAGAGAGAGGGAGAGAGAGAGAGAGAGAGCAGACCTGTTCCTTACACCTAGAAGAGCACAATGAACAGCTCGTGCTGTGGCAGAAGCCGGGGCAATGGCTGCTGCTGGAGCAGCTTGGATAGCAGTTGCAAAAGCAGATCCCATTCCAGCACCACGCTGATACCGTTTGATGGGAGTGCGTATTAAAGCAGAAGCAGATTTACTGAAGCCATCACTCATACTTTCATAAGCCTGGCAAGATTATCAGGGATCAGTATCTCAGTTATACTTTCATTAGCCTTCCAAGATTTTCAGGATCAGTGCCTCAGTTGGACTACATAAAGAGTATATTCCAAACTTTCACTGAAGGAAGCTGAATGGAGGGGGAAAAGGGGTTTGAGGAAAAGGGGCGATGGGAAATAAGAAACTTGCATATTCCAAACTTTTGGTCTAGGACGACGAATGCCTGTCATCTGTATATCTAGTTCAGGCAAAATTTCCCCAAGAATGAGAGGAGGGATTGCAACGTCACGTACTTTCACTTTTTATATCAACTTAAGCAGACTCTTTTTAGCCACAGTGAACCAGTTATCTTCATTTCAACATATACGGGAGTGTCAATTGCAGGCTTTAGAACTAAAATTCAGAAACGGTGCTAACCAGCCAAAAAGTAAAACAACAGAGTGTCTCAGAAAAAGAGGATTATCACCTGTTGGATCCCTTGTCGGGAATCTCTAGGTTGATTAAATCTCACACTAGTGTTTCCTCCACTTTGCACAGGCCATGTTACTGATGGTGGAACACTTGTAAGAATATATTCTGCTTGCAGAAGGATTTCATGAGCGCCAGCAGCCAAATGCACTCCAAGCCCAATTGCTTCAAGTGAAATACTTCTAAGGAACGCTATTGTACCTGTAAAAGATTGAAGCCTTTTTGAGAGCTATAAGCCACAACTATATTGGCACACAGGATAGAGATACTTTTACATGGCTATTAATGTCCTCCAAGACAAAAACAAAGCATTTGTGTCCTGTGGCAGGGTTGACCCTGTACATTTGAAGAAAATAAAAAGTCCAAAGGCTCAATCCCCCTCTTTTAACAGATGAGAGCAATTACAGCAGAGGTACTATTATTTGTCAACAAATACTAAACAAGACAAGCACTTCTCACTCAGTGATACGACGCTTCTTCTTAGCAATTAGAGACATAATTGACAGCATATAGTCGCCGACCTTTTGCAGAAGATAACAAATAGGGAAGCAGAGTAACATGTAAGACGAGGTCAGAGATTATCCACCAACTAACAACAACATACCAGTGTAATCCCACCAACTAAGCATATAATATAGATAATATAATTTTCTAC